AAAAGGTTTTGGTCTGTTTTTAAAATAAAGTCGAAGGCATCACAATTACCCTTGAAATTAATTGGAACACATACGGATGCCAATGTAGTTGCTATAACACCTGATGAGAAGGCGACGCTGTTCAACGAATATTTCCATTCGGTTTTTGATAAATCGGAAGAACCTGTTCTCGCGGGTGATAATCCTAGGCCAACTGTTGTTACTACACTCACTGAAATTGTTTTAGATCAAATGGAAGTGGAAGCATTGTTACTATCTATAGATCCCTCCAAGGCACAGGTCCTGATCAAATTCCAGCTCGACTCCTAAACGAATGTGCTCAAGAAATATCGGAATCCCTTTGTCTTCTGTTTAATAAATCATTGCACACTGGAATTTTCCCACAACAGTGGAAACTAGCCAACATTGTACCAATTCTAAAGAAATGTCCTGCCTCAAATGTGCAAAATTATCGCCCCATTTCTTTGTTGTCAAATATTGGGAAAATCTTTGAAAGGTGTGTTTTTAATCGAGTTATAAATCATATTAGTAATCAGTTACATAACTTCCAACATGGCTTCCTGAAAGGAAAATCTTGTACTACCCATCTGTTACAAGTAATAGACGAAATTGGAAGAAGTTTGGATTGTGCAGAACAGACTGATATTATATATCTTGACTTTGCAAAAGCATTCGACAAAGTCAACCACTCCTTGTTATTGGATAAAATCAGTGGCTTTGGAATTGACGGTAATTTGTTGAAATGGTTTGGAAATTATCTATCTGATCGTCGTCAGCAGGTAACTATCCCTGGATCGACTTCGGGGGTTTTGCCGGTGCTCTCCGGTGTACCTCAGGGGTCGATTTTGGGACCCCTCTTGTTCCTCATGTTTATCAATGATCTCCCTGACAGCGTTATGGAGAATTCGGATGCAAAGATGGTATTGTTTGCCGATGACTCTAAGATTTATAAAACTATCAGGACTACATCGGACTGTATGGACTTGCAAACTAGCATTGACCGAACATCCATATGGAGCTGTGAAAATAAAATGCTTTTAAACAGTAAGAAATGTACTATAGTAAGTGTGAATCGTAAAACTCAGCCTACTACATTTTCTTATTCTCTTGGGAGATTACCTTTGGGAAAAACAAACTGTGAAAAAGACCTTGGGGTGTTAATAAAAAGCGATCTGAAGTGGGACGCGCATGTTTTGTCAATTTCAAAGAGGGCTAACAACGCTTTGGGGTACATTAGAAGAGGGACAACAGGATTCAATGACGTTGATACAAGGAAAGTACTCTACATGGCGTTAGTAAGAAATCATTTAGTTCATGCATCGCAAGTTTGGGCTCCACAGTCAGTACATCTAATCAAGCAATTGGAATCTTTGCAGAGAAGAGCAACAAAGTATATTCTATGCCTACCATATGATACTACTATTACATACAAAGACCGGCTCTTAAAATTAGATCTTTTACCGATGTCGTATTGGCATGAATATTTGGATGTGTTGTATTTGTATAAGCTGGCATCTGGCATGCTTTCTTTAAAGTTGCATGACTTCTTAAAAGTTAAACAACCATTACGTGTAACGAGAAGAAGTAATCCTTCATCAGGTTTAATGTTTGATATCCCAAAAGTACGTACAGTAACATATCAATCTAGTTATTTTATTCGAACTGCTAGAATTTGGAATGAACTGCCATCATCCATACGATTATTAGAAACTTTATGTCAGTTTAAAAATAGTCTATTGAAATACTACAAAGATTGTCTAAAAACTATTTATGACACTGACAATCCAAGAACTTGGAAAACTATATGTCCAAAATGTCATAACTGTTCTGTTTTAGTAAAGCAATCACAGTGTTGCTGATTTTATTTTATTTATATTTTATAATGGGCCACTGTTATTGGGGTTTTTAACCCTGTTGTTGGTTCCTGACACTTTAAAGTATTTATGTGTGGTATTTGTACGTTTGTAATTTAATTTTTCTTTTTGTCATATCGAAATAAAAATAAAAAAATTTGCTAATTGCAAATTTGCCGCAATTTTCATCTCACTCCAAGAGCAGACGGACAATAATTCAATACAATGTTTCAACTTTTAGTCAATTATTTAGGGATAGATACGCGAGTGTTTTTCTTGAAAAACCTATTAAAGAATACAGATTACTTGTCGAACGTATTAAATCTGCAATACCTTGTTTTAACCAATTGCACGACGACGAAATTCGAATTGCATATAAAGATGTTCATTCAGGATGTTTCATAAATATTCATGCCAATGTTGATGAACAATTTCACCTAACAGATACATTCAACAACGTATTTACAGTTGGAGCATACGATAGAATTAATTTGAAAGTTTGTAGAAGTGATTCACCATCACATATTAGAAAGAAATCGTTAATTTGCGACGATCTCAACGAACCTACGTTTTGTTCGAGTGTAAATAACAAGGTGAGACCGATTGCCGCTTTCACGGAAAATGATGATACAAGTACGAGTACGTCTGCCCTTCCCAAACAACTTAATTTTACAGCAGATTTGTCCGAATTTCAAGGGTGGAAAGAAAACAATCGCAATAACAATTTGAAACAATCCTTGTTACGCCCTTGTTTGCACGTCTTATTTTACCTGTAATTCTATCGTATGCTCCAACTGTAACAACGTTGAAAGTATCTGTTAGGTGAAATTGTTCATCAACTTTTGCATGAATATTTATGAAACATCCTGATATTTGCATGAATATTTATGAAACATCCCTATATGCAATTCAAATTTCGTCGTCGTGCAATTCGTTAAAACAAGGTATTGCAGATTTAACACATTCGACAAGTAATCTGTATTCTTTAATAGGTTTTTCAAGAAAAACACTTGTGTATCTATCCCTAAATAATTGACTAAAAGTTGTCCGTCTGCTCTTGGAGTGAGATGAAAATTGCGGCAAATTTGCAATTAGCAAATAGCAATTTACCTCGACAGTTGGAAATTGCACGACACAAATGTCAATCAAAATTGCAAAATTGTATATCATTATAGCAATGTTTAGGTCAAAAGTGAACCGGATTTGACTGTAGTTTTTCGTCTTTTATTTCGGTATTTCAATCTGTTGCGAAACTAATGAAATCAGTGGGATATTTTTAACCAGAAATACACATTAGATCGCCCAAAACATCACATGTTTACATCCTAGCGCTCGGAAAACATCGGAAATCGATTCTAGAGGTCAAATTACATCTGCAGCGTGATTTTCACGTGCATGGGGCTACGGGATACTCCTTATTGGTCAATTTTACATGCAGCACGCGCGTGCGAGTAAAAACCCGATATACTAAAAAATTCCAAATAAACATTTCTACTTGCCGTATTCGAACGAAACTTTCTACATAAAAGCGCTTGAATACAAGGAATATTTCACTAATATTAACTTGTGGCGAATTCTGAAAAGTTTAGAAAATATTCAACTTTTTCTCCATATGAAAATACAAAATGTTTGGCCAAGCGGTGAGTAAATATATGATTGTTTCAGTTTGTGTATTTGTTTTGATGGCATTAGACCCCCCGATGAAAAGCTTATTTTGCTAGGATTTCAATGGTGTTCTTTGTTTTGAAGGGGGGTGAATACGCGCTGAAATATTTACATTATAAAACAGTTGAATCAAAATGTTCCTTGCCGTGAAAAATGTCGCTGGTCGAGAAAGAGTTAATGTTCAACTCACAATCCTCAAACATTTTTTTCATGGACAATATTTGATCATCGAAAGGTCTCTGCATACTAGCTCTTCCAACAAGTCGTTTAACTGTACCTCCAATGCCATCACAGAGAGATTTTCCATGATTGGTTGCAAAGAATACCCACCTTGCAGTTATATCAAAATCAATGTAATGATGGCAAAGATTTATGATGTTCTTAAAATTTTTGTATTATCCAGCACAACCATCTGAAAAATATAATAAGTCCTTAACATCAGGAAGCTTTCTTTTCAGATATTTTACAACTTCTTGTACTTTATAAACAATACAAGTGTTGTGTTCCATGTCATCAGATATCACAAAGATAGATTCACAATGAAGTTTACCATCCTTCATGGGGTATAGGGCACAACTGGGTCTAGGGTAAACCGATTTTGTTCCAATGAAATCCTTGGATTTCATCCTGGAACATAAACTGGTAATTCTCTGCAAAGTCAAGCAAGGCAGTGCATGAGGTTTCACTCCGGTTGTCTTTGAGGTTCTGCAAGTACCTGGCCTGACTCTTTGCTATAAAAGAATGTACAGTTAACTTACTGATAGCATTAACCAGAAGTTCAACAAATTCTTGAACAGTTGTTGTTTGGGTACATAACTTAACATAGCTCTATCAGTCCCCTGCCATTGCTGGAAAGAAATTTCTTCTAGTGTGTCAGCAAACATTTTGTCTAAGTACTCTCTCAAAGCATTTTCTCCTAGACAGTTTTAACAATGATGGATCATGCACATCTTGCTGTTTATATTGCAGACAACCATCGCCATGAGATCATGATAGTCTTTGTCAATGTTTGCTCTGTGCACTAACAGTTGTGCATTTTGATGGCTGGTACAAACACAGTCCTCAGTCCCCGAGGAACCAACAGAAACACACCAGGCAGTCGGGCTGCAAAATTTCAAAAAGGCCAACCTTTGCATCTGGATATCTTTCTTTAAATGCACTGTACAACTCCTTTAGTTTACAGAGGAGTAGTCTTCACTGTTTATGTCATTTCTTGAGACACTAACACAGTCATTTTTACCTGGCATAAGTCTTGAAAATTCGTCATCTTCAAAAAAGTTAATAAGTGATTTGGGGTCTTCCAGAAGTGTTTTGCCTTGTCTAGGATTTGGTACTGATATAATTCCCTTCTTTCAATTTTCTAGCAGAACAAATAGTATAGTCGGGGACAATGACCCAGGTGTAAGTGTCAAAATTTGAATTTTGGTTTTGTGATCAGATATTTTGAGCTCATCTCGTTCAAATTTTGTTATTTCATAGTCTGTCAACAGTGGTGTAGTGGAGGGAGAGGGGGGGCTGAGCCAAAATTAAATTTAATCACGTTGTTCATGCGCCGTAGCAAATTGGCTGTGAAAGTCCAATAGTTCCCGTTTTGTCCGATTTAAACTCTATCCAGGGCCATAGCAACCGGGGGAGCTGGGATTGCTGCCCCCCTCCCCAATAATTTGCCAATAATCATTCTTTTTTTCAAAATCATGCAGACCTTTATCATTTTAATAATATACCTTTAAAACACTGACAATTGATTAATTTTAAGTGGTTACATTATCCATGACAAACTGCAAAGAATGAAGATATTACCATACCTTCCTGCAACTTATCCAATATATAATTAATTAAATATGCCTTCGCCCATTTCGTACTATTAAGTTGCAAATTTCGACATACTAAAACGCTGTTTTCTGACCATCAGAATTCTGTCAAATTCCCCCAAATTCCAGGAAATGGCATTTCAGAGACTCTAAATTTAAAAATTTCCTCGGGCCTGCGACCTCTTTCAGCCCCCCAATCAAAAAGAGCTTCCTATGGTATTGCTATCCATAGCATTTTCACTTTATATGCATAATACAGCTGTTATTAAAGAGCTTTCCAGAAGATATTTCAAAATATATGTTACAGTTTATAAATATTAGGCTGTTAACAACATGGAAAATTTAGACCAGGAATCCAAGTCACAGCCCAGCCAGAAATTTTCTGAACCCCGCTTTCCCACTGGGCGATATTTATTTTTTCATGGCAATTTTTTTCGCTAACCAATCATACCACTGAATGTAGTTTTCACCTTGAAGGTACACCACCGCCTTTACATCTTCAAAACGTAGTACAGAAACCTTGAATTCCTTACTTTTTTGAGATGCTCAAAATATTTTATATCACTAACAGCACTATTCATCACAGGCCTCTTCCTGCTGACGACGATTCAATTAATCCAATAACCATCTCAGATCTTGAGTTAACTGAAGAAGTTTGTTGTGTACTCAAAACTCTTGACGTAGACAAAGCCACTGGTCCTGACAAAATTCTGACAATATTGCTAAAAACCTGTGCAGCTAACATCAGGCCATCTTTATGCGAACTTTTCAACAAGAGTTTATCTTGTGGAAAACTGCCGTTGGAGTGGAAGTTGTCTAATATCAGTCCAATGCCAAAGAAAAGTCCTTTCCATGAAGTCTGCAACTATAGACCAATATCACTTTTGTCACTGGTCTCCAAGGTGTTTGAACATTGCATCTACAATAGAATTATTGGCCACCTCTCAAGTCAACTTTATGATCTTCAATACGGTTTTCAAAGCGGCAAGTCTACAACTGCCCAGATGCTTTATGTTGTTCACGAGATTCGTAATGTCTTAGAGAAAAGGGGCCAAGTTGACACTATCTATCTTGATTTCGCGAAAGCATTTGACAAAGTCAGCCATGATCTCTTTCTCATGAAGCTTCACAATTTTGGCATCAGAGGAAATCTTCTTCGCTGGTTCGGGGACTATCTTTCTGGTCGATTACAGAAGTCACTGTTCTTGGTGTAACATCTGAACCACTTCCAGTGCTTTCTGGAGTTCCTCAGGGATCAATCCTTGGTCCACTCCTTTTCCTCATCTATGTGAACGACCTTCCTATGTCTACCTCACACGATACTACCATGTCAATGTTTGCTGATGACACAAAATGTCACTGTCATCTTCAAAATTTCCAAGACACCATAATTCTGCAGCAAGATCTGGATAATGTTGCCAACTGGTGTAATGACTGCAGGATGGACTTAAACCAAACCAAGTGTGTAGTCATGCATTTCTCAAGAATTGCTCAACTGATGATCACACAGTACACAATATCAGACACTCCAGTCCTACAATAATCCAGTCAGAAAGATCTTGGCACAACTACCACTAACAACCTTAAATGGAACAAACAGGTGCAAGAGATATCGACCAAAGCAAATAAAATGTTAGGTTTTGTAAAGCGACATTCGCTAGTGTAGAGTTTGTAAGATACTTTATTTGACAATGGTTCATAGTCAGCTGGCTTATGGTAGTCAGGTATGGGCACCCCAGACGGTAAACAACATCTTGACCATTGAACGTGTGCAGCGATGTGCCACCAAATTTATTTTGTCATTGCTGTACCAAACCGATAATATCATACCAGGAAAGACTGACCACCATGGCATCATCCCTATATGTTACTGGCACGAGTATTTAGATCTAGTGTATCTCTACAAGTGCATCATTTCCAACTTTGACAACAACATTTCTATCAGAATTCCTACTCGAGAAACACAAAGTACTAATGCAACCAATGGCATATTACTTGAAGTAGCCAAGTGCAAGACAGTGAGCTACCAAAATAGCTTCTACGACAGAGTTGCCAATGTGTGGAATACACTCCCCCCTGTTTGATCAGAGAAACCAACAAAACCGTGGTCTCTTTCAAATTTTGTTTAATGCGTTAGAACTTTTCTTAACAAAGTATTTTAACCTAAGCTACCTGTTCATACTGTTCCTAAGAAAATAATTTATTTCTGTCTCCCTTTTAAGGGCACTCACTCCTTGCAAATTCGCGTGCAAATCAACCGTCTTTGTCGTGCTGCTTTCCCACATCTTGATATAAGATTTGTCTTTCGATCAACTAAACGGCTCTCAACCTTTTTCTCTTTTAAGGACAAAATACCCAAAGCTCTGAGGTCGGGTGTACTCTTTTACGTGTCGATGCTGTTCCACATCGTATGTGGGTCAAACCACGCACCATCTACACACCCAAGTTTTGGAACACCTGGGTATCACTCCTATCAGTGGCAAACAATGTAAAAATCCTCCCCAGTCCAGCATTTCCTCACATCCACAGGCCACGCTGCTTCTATTGACGACTTCAAAATCCTCTCCTCTTGTTCAGATGAACAAGAACTCCTTATTCATGAAAGCTTTTTTATCTCTAAAATGAAACCCTCTCTCAACGTTCAAGGCAGTTCAATTCCTCTTCACGTATTCTGATCTCTTTTTTATGTTTTGTCTGTTTGTGTTGTTGTCTAATTTGTATGTTCTCATTTTTTTCCGTCGTTTCCCTTCATTATCCTTTCTTATCGTTATGTTTTGTGTACCTCGTATTCGCTTGTAATTTAATATTGCTATGATAGCTTTACTTTATGTTTAATTACTCTTACAGCTCGTAATTTAATATAGTCTGAAGATGTCTTGAGTTAATACGAAACGTTACTAAATCTTTAATAAAATTTTAAATTTAATGGTTTATGGCTCTTTTAAAAGCACTTTGCTGGACTTTAATATTTATTATTAGAATTCGTTTCCCGCTTGGTACTTCTCTGGTAACAATTTTGTTTAATGCAACATTATAAGGATCTCACCAAGGAAATTTATAATCCTGAGGATCCAAGAACATTTAAGTCTGTTTGTGTGAAGTGTCACACAACTCGCCCACTGACTAACTTGTCGAATCGAGCATGCTGTTAAATTTATTGTCACATAAATTGTAAGTCTTTGATTGTAATTCGTTGTGCTTGTTTGTTGAACTTCACGTCTGTCTGTCTGTTTGTTTGTCGGTCTGCAAGCCTGTTATTATTCATACTGTGTATTTCGAATGTCTTGGAATCCCGTTATTGGAGAACTAATCTCTGTGTGGTAATTCCAGCCATGATCTATTGTGTAACTAATTTTGTGTAATAGTTTGTGTTAAATGGCAAAATCTGTAAAATAAAATAAAAATTGTTTTTAATAAGAATAATGTTGAATGTTTGTTCCACAATTACTAGAATAAACCCCAACAAAATTTAGAACACTTTTTTTATTATTATTTTATTTGCCCATATAAAGCTAAATATATTTACAATCTATATTTTTTACAAACGTTAAGGGCTAGGAACCTTTATGAAACCCTATCAGGCTTTTATTCAAAGGCCCCCTAGTTTAACAATATTAATTATTATATAAAAATAGTTAAAGCTTGTTCAATCTCGTCAAAGACAAAGTAAGAGTATTTACAAATATAGTGATTTGAATATAAATATACACAAGAGTTTATTATGTGAGATTTCAAAATGAAAGCCGTTAGGTATATTCCAAGAAAAGGCTTTTCAACTTTTTCTTAAAAGTAGAACTTCCAAAAGTAGAACTTCCAAAATATCATATTGTACCCCCACCCCTACCACTAATTCAGGACACCTTTGGAGAACACCCCTTGTTAACATTCCAGGACTACACCACTGCATAGTCAGTCTCATCACCTGCTTCTGCACTCTACAGGCTCATCATTTTTCTGTTCTTTTCTAGCCTTGTGAAAACAATTTTTACAAAGTTGCCAGCCAGGTATTACATCAATTTCTTTTTGGCTAAGTTGCTTTGCCAAATGAAGGGTGGTAATATGGCTACCTTTTGCCTTTGCTTTATGAGAGTTGAAAATATTACAACATTTGTTGAATTTTCTTTCAAACATGTTGCCATACATTTTGCTACGATGCATACAAATAGTCATATTTGTTTTATCTTGTTGATAAGCAATTCTTGCCCTCATGAAAAAGGTTTCCTGTACATCTTCAGAATAATCACTAAGATTTTCCATACCTTGTTTTCTTGTGTACGAAAGCTTATGGCATTCATCTCCAATAGTTTCACCAAAATCACACTGACTTAAAGTGGTGTAAAAATCCATAACCAAATTTCCTTTTTTTGTGCTTAAAAGTTCCTGATGTTCTGATATCAATGTTATGATAGGTATAAATAATAACTAATAAATTGTATGAACAGAATGATGAATTATCAGCATGTATCATCTATGATAATGTTGCTTAAGGGTAAAAACATCAGTTTGGGTACATATTTCCAAGTTGGTGTAACTTTTGAAACCTAGAAGACTTATTCATGAAATTACCCTACAATGCTCATGAACATGTGTACTTTAACATGGTTTTATCAAAAAGTTTGTATCATGTCTGCCACATTCCAAAATTTACACTAAAAGTGGTGTGACACACACTTGAAAAAAACTTAATTTGCCATGGCAATAACAGCTCTCCTATTGGTTGTAAGTATTTTTTAATATCATTTTTGAATTCTGCAGCATCAAATTATGTAATCCCCCAATTATGTAATTGTATAATAATAGCTCAAATAACCATGATTTTATTACTAGTTTACTGAACCCCACTACCCACAAATTTTTGCTCAGGCCACACCCATTTTTGGTCAAAATACTATGTCTGAAATTTTGGATTTTTGCATGTCTCATGTTCAGGGCTCTCATTTTTAAGGAAATTTCCTTAAACTGAGGAAATTTTGACCTTTTTAAGGAGACTTTTAAGGAAATAGAATTTTTAAGGAATTTTGAGTTGAAAATACTCCAAACAATAATTAGTTATTACACTGTTTGTTATACTTATAAGTTATATCCATCGACCTAATTAATGACAGTTTTGGGCAGTAGTTTTTACTGAAATCGCTGATCATCTTCAATTTTATTGTTCGTATTTAGTTCTTTAATTAACGCCCGTGGAGGTTCAATCTGAGCTTCTCTCGAGTGTCATTGCTGTGTTTGAATAGCTCGAGGGTTAGTGTCGACCTTACTATGCGACCACTCACCCTCCAGCTATTCAATAACAGCATTGACACTCAAGAAAAGCTCAGTTTGAACCTCCACTCAGTGAGTGTGAGTGAGCTTTTATTAGAATACGGGCGTAAGTTTTTGAGTGACTTTGATTCACTGTGTTTTTGAAGCGCAGTTTTCGAACTCGAAACTTTTTTGCAGCAAACTTTGCATGATGGTTCGTCGTTTGCATTTTTTGGTGCAACAATGGCATGTTTAAAAGTAGGATATTTGTCCATTCCGCTCAAAATTTTTGTTTACTATTTTTTTCAATTTTAGTCTTTTTTGGAGCGCTTCCCTTGGATTCAAAATCAGAAAATTCAAAATTCGCCATTTTCAGATGTAAAAAAGTTATACTTACATATTTTCGCGCCAATTGCGCCTATGATCGCGCACCACTGGAGTGTTCCTCAGAGACTAGGCCAAGTCTAAGGAAATTTTTGTCGATTTAAGGAATTTTTACCGCTGAGTCTAAGGAAAATTTGGAATTCCGTTCTGAGAGCCCTGCTCATGTTGGTTATTTCCTCCAAATTTGAATAAAATCCAAGAGGGGTGGTGTCATTTTCAAAAATTTCTGGATGAATTGATGGCCAAAACGGCATATACACAGTCTAAGAGTTGGGAGAGCATGTTTAGAATTTACACACAGTTGGCAAGATGACAGGATCTCGTTATTTTATAGCAATTCTACATCAAATCAAATCAAACTTATTTTAGCCATAAAAAAATAATATCACAAAAAAGAAGGAATAAATATACATTATACTTGGCAAGGGGGCCCAATAGAAACCATAAGGCTTATTCATTTTGGGCTACCTTAATCGTACTATTCGAATTCATATAAACGGAATAATTCGTACACAATAGGAGACAAATTCGAATTCATTAGTGTAATTACATATTAAGCATCTACCTATAGTGACCGTCAATTTATATAATAATTAGAACTAGTTGTTCAAAGATGTAGTACAGTTGATCGTTACGTGTAATGTCAGAAAGAGAGCTAGAGATTTAACAAGGGTGATATATTTATAGGTATAATGAACACTATTATAGAAATTAGGTGTTAGGGATTTAGAAAATAATATGTTAAAGATTAAAAAGATATTCTTTAAGTTTTTTCCGAAAACTAAAAACGGATGAAGCTTCACAGATATCCTAAGGGACAGAGTTAAAGAATTTAACGCCTTGGTAGCTGATAGAAAATTGCCTAATATCTGTTCTACAGAAAGGAAGAAAGCATAACTTTGAATTATGTGTGTAGTAATTGTGCACCTGATTGATATTTTGACAAAAAATTTCAAAATATTTTCAAAATTTCGACAGTGAAACTGGTACATGAATTTGCCTAAATGAAAGAGAGAGACTTTATCAAAAGGGAGAATTCCAAGTTCCTTGAAAAAGGGTTGGGTGTGAGCGTCATATGACGCTTTAAATACAATTATTATCAGACGTTTCTGTAGTAAAACAATACGCTTTAGATTGGATGGGTAAGTTGAGCCCCATACTAGGATACAACATTGCATATACGGATAAACAAGGGAATAATATAACATGACTAGTGCTCTTGTATGGAGATAAAAACTGGCTTTCTTTATAATTCCAACCGATTTGGACATTTTCCTAGAAGTTTGCACAATGTGTGATTTCCATGTCAGATGTTCGTCTAAGATTACCCCAAGAAAGCTACAATCCTGGACAAAACCATCTGCGACACTCTATTAAAACATTCCTTTGTGGCTTTTTTTACCAGTTAGACCGGAATAATTTACTCGTTTGCCCCCCTCCGCCCCCCAAAACAATGTTGGACGCTTTATCCGTATTCTACGAATCCAATCAACATTGAATGGTGGGGGAAAGGGGGAGGTTTTCTAAATTTACGATAACATTACGATATTTTGTCAAGTATAATTGGAAGTGTCGCAGATGTTTTGTCCAGGATTGTCTGAAATGAGTCGAAATTACATTCTTTTATATTTCGCTTGTTATGCATGTCCTTGCCATGTATTTTGTTTATGCGCATTGCTCATGACCTACTTATATTCATAATTACATCAAGTACCTTATTTCATTAATTAAATACGTCATGAA